ATTGTTGGTCTCGTTAGTCGTTATTAGTTCGGAGAAAGTAGTGTTTGCTGTTCGTGATGAGCTTTTTTGTGAACTGATGAACGTACTACCTCAAGTTCACTTAAGGCAGAGTAAAGTAGCCGTATATGAGAACCATTTTTTTAAGCACGCATAATTGTCGATTAAAAATACGTTTATTGAAATATGATACACGTTTTAAATATAAGATCTGTACACTTTTACGACATATTAGAAATTATAACAAAACAGATAGAGTTCTATTATAATAAAATAAAAGTGAAAAGTATGCAAAAAGATGTATTCAAAAACTGGTCGTCTAATATGACACCCTGGTTTCATATTGTCAAAACTTATTTTTTCTGTCTTTTTTCACACATTGGCTATAAAAATTAATTGCTGTAACATTTGATACACTGAACCCATTGGTCATCATGTACATCTGAAGAATAAAGTCCTGTACAAAACAAGGATTCTGCATCATAACTTCCTTCGTCGTCAATCTGATTGTTCAGAACAATGTCTTCTTCACATTCATCAGGTTTGATCAGATGAACTATCACTTTTTACGCGTTTCCTTGTAGTGCATTTTTTAAGGTGTTTGCAACGTTCAAGACTTCTTCGCAACGGAGATAGGCTGGGGTCTCATATTAGGAAAGGTCTCATATTATGCTACTTTACCTTAGAGTAAAAGACCGAACTATTGATACTTTCAGAAATGACACGGACATTATTGCATAATTGTTGTATTAACTGACCAAAAAACATAAGTCTTTATTTGTATTTATTATTATTTAATATGTTTAATTAAAAGAAAAATTTGTTGTAATTTTCCGAACCTCTACTTTTGTTTATAAATTCATTAGTTTCAAAAATATGTTCATGCGTGCAAAAAACTGTTGTTATATTTTCCATCAGTCAAAGACGATCATGAAAAATCACGAATTACTGTGAAAAATCACCGCGATTGGGAACGACTGTGACCGAATCACTCGTGACTTACAAGTAGCAGTTTACGTCATCTTTAGTGACCGGCCATTTATTTTGTACCAATCTAATACCATTAATAACGGACCACCTTGTAGATTATCATAAATAATAACAGGAGTGACATCTATCGTTATTTGTTCAATTATACTGCTAACTGTACACGGATCAAGAGGAAGAAAACGCGGAAGGAGAAGGAACATAAAATAAAATACTGAATAGCGTAATCCATAATGAAATGATTGATTCTCTCCGTCGTAGCATAGAAAGATCTGACAATAGCCCCTTTTTTCATTCTGTTGGTGGTAGACTGGTCTGTGCCTTTTCTTATTCCGTTCACAGTTGTACCGTTTTCTACCTCTTTCTTCATGTTGCGCAATAAATCTGTTCAGATGGCGTTGTATAACCATCTCCAGAGAGCGAAACTCGCTTGGTCCGGTGGCTCGGCGTTGACCAATGGTCAAGGTGTTCGTTGTTGAGGCAGGCTACGTCACCTTGTCTCGCGGGACATTTATTAACGCTGCCGTTTTATCCTCTGTAATATGGTTCCCCTCTGGGCGCTTCCTATCCGCCACCGGCTAATATTTGTTTAATTTCATCCGTGGATTACGTGGCTTTTATTAGAACACGCAATTAGGCGTCGTTCTGTCACTTTATTCATAGAAACTACCTGAAGGCCCGTTAATATTTACCAATCTCCGGTCGAGATGGCATTAACTCCTTGCCCTACGATTTTCTTCACGTCTGCAGACTTCAGGATTACATTGTTGTCAATAGTTCCCCAGAAACGAAAGGAATTCTGTACTTAACGCAACTGTATTTTTACTGTAAAAATTAAATATTAATACCAGTAACGTCTCATTTCACTTCGACTCAAGGAAAACCGAATAATATCCTTCTTTGTTGAATCGATTTTGAAATCGTCAACACGAGTCTGACTCGATGTTATAGGGCAAGGGGTTGATAAACTTTCTTTCTTGGATTATTTGTCTGCAGCTTCTATCGAACGATTGTACGATGATCGAAACGGTTATCTTTACAATATTTTTCGTTTGAATTTTTTTGGATCCTATCGCCCATTTGCTGCAACAATAACATAATTGAAAATTTTCAGTTTGTGAGTTATTATAGCACAGAAAAGCAGTTGTTGGTATTTTTCATCGGTCGAATCCTGTAAGTGAACTTTCAAGACTTACCACATCGGAACAGTGACTTTAACAAATAACAATTTTGCAAAGAGGCTGATTATTTAAATACCGTTACAAAAGTTTTGCGTAAAATTAATATTGCAGTATAATTTAAAACGAGACCAACAGTCTTTATTAATTAAACGCATATATTTTGGACGATTTATGACTTAACCCTTATCCTCGTGTCAATTTGACACATTTCTTCCTTAAGAAATGATGTCATTCTGTCACGTGTAGGTAAATTTAGCTGAAACTTCGTGACTTTATTTATTAGAAATTGCAAATTTAACTGTTTATCTCTTCGTTATATTAATTTTTCACCACTGTGTCAATTTAACACTGAGGCATAAATTAAGTTCGGGAAATGAGGGACAAATGAAGGTTAGAAAACGAAATAAAGTGTGGCAGTCAGCATGTCCATATGATGATCGTACAAAATTACAGCGATCAAAACATTGAAACTAGTTTTCTTTAAAATCTTGATTTTTGAGTTATGTCGTTATTGTAGCAAATGAGCGATGTGTATGTAATGTAAGCGGTCGAGTACGGCAGCCATATTTGTTTCGATTATGTGAATTTATAGGAGAATCGTTAACGGGTTTATAATCAACTGATTAAAGTAGTCACTCGACAATTGAAAGATCAGGATTTTACTGTTGGCCCGGTAACTCGATTGGTCGATTTAGTTTTTTTCGACAACAGAGTTTGGGAATCGGTACAAAATACAGAAGACTATTTTAACTTTGTTGGGGAGTCCGCTGCATTGCGGACTTCATCACTAGATGTCAGAAGAGTATGAAAACAATTTGAAATACAATATTTTTCCTTTAATGTTCTTGTTTATGATATTCTTTAGTAACTGTTGAAGCATTAAGACCCGTCTAAATCCGTCACCGTATAAATTATAAAGAGTTCTAACATTTTACTTGTTGTTCGTAGTTTTCGATTTTTCTATATTTTTATGGGTGAAATTTTATTCATAAGATAGATTATTATCTGCATTAGCCATAGATTATTATTGATTATTTCAATACGTGTTATTTAATATTGGAATATTTAATATGTTGGCTGCTATAGCAGTCACTCGTGATCAACGACATTATACATATTATGTGAAGAAACTTTTAGCTTTTGTCAGTAACATTTACAAACTTGTAAATATAATTAATAGTAGAGTCATGATTTAAAGAATAAGTGTGTAAGTTAACATATAAATATTTGTATTGTTAACATAAGAACTATTCGATCGGTCGATATAGATTACAAACTTTTAACAATTTATAAATGTGTAATTAACTAATTCCTTCACTTTTATATCGTAATAAAAGTTCTAAAAGATCTGAGAAAACTTATTGTTATAATATTTTAATCTCCGTTATAAGACAGTACAGATAAGTCATTTTGATTTGTTTGGTAGTTCTAGTGTTAATAACAAACATTTAATTAGACAAATGCAGTTCATCACGACATGGTTCTAATGTTAAAAATTTCGATAGTTACTGTGTTAATAGGAACGTACAGTGTATCAAATTATTCTTAATATAGAAATCTTTGTAAAATGTTTTATAATTACGAATAAAATTGATAAACTTGTATGTTCCTCATAATTACAAAACGCATGTGTAGTAGTTCATTATTATGCGCGGAAAGTATAAGAATTAATTACATGTTTTAATTAAAATACGTGCGTAAGAAAGTCAGTATTAAATAATTAGTTACGATAGTTCCATACACAAGTATCAGTTTCAGTTTCTGCGTATTCCACGCGGAGCCGAGTAATTGCAAAACATATGTTGTATCCGTTCTTGGTCTCTTTGATCCTTTGAATATCACGAACGCTCGTGCGTATTCGATGTTATGAAGCACACAATATTTACATTAAATTCTGTTTGATAAAAAATGATGTTTTCATAGATGTGGCATTTCTTGCATATCCAGTATGCAGTCTGTCAGCATTAGATCGTGGATATTTATGCAAAATCAAATTATTGAAACGGAATTTATGAAAATTAACATTAAACAGAAGTTTACGTTCTTTATGAAACGTTTTATTAGATTAAAAGAAAACGAAAAACGTTATCAGATTTTACTAATGTTCCTTAATTGATGAAATTCTGTATATTCACGCATATTACAAAATAGTATTTAGTAATAATGCACACAGCACATGTTATCTGAGGTTTTGCATATTTTACTGTTCAGACTTTCAACGAGTTTTATGTTAGATCGAGAATGATCATTAGTGGATTATATTTTGTAATTTGATCATCGCTTAAATAAATTTTACCATGGCCATCCATGTTTTTTTTTAGTGAAAACCAAACTTACTAAATAATTGTAGTATCCACTTCACTCCACCAAAGAGGATAGGATCTTATTCTTTTTGCACCCCGCCACTAGTTCACCAAATAACGACACATTTTACGTTTGACACGTTTCCTTTAACATAAGCTCAAGATACCCTGCTAAAGAAGCTAGTTCATGTCCCCATCATTACAAATTACGCATTGTTCGGCAATTTATAATTCCGTTTAATCTTGAATTTCGATTTAACAGCTATGTTATAGGGCGCAGAGGTAATAAATTATTTCCGACCGTCGAACGCATTTTCGGGTTGCTCAATATGTTTCCAGTAACAGTAACTGAATACATTACAATACAATATTGAACCTATCTATTGAGTCAATAAATAGTCTTCCCAATCGAAGACCTATTTCACTAACTTTGTTCGCACAGTCTATAACTCACGTCGATGGCTACATTAAATAAGATTTGAATATCAAAGAGATTTGGATTTCTAGAGAGAATCGTATTTATTTTACTTACATGTTGGCCTCGTCCTGTTCGGTCTCGTCAACGGTATCCATGGTCTCTGGGGTGGATGATTTGCAGTAACTGCAAGCAAAAACATAAAACAATCATCAGTAGAGTATTGATATTTAACCTTTGGGTCATGGTCGTACTGGAGAATGGCCAGTTGTAGAATAAATATGAATACGACAATGTCATTTTGTTATTTTCGCTGTACAATGCCAATCGTTTCATCGGATCTTCGATGGACAAAGTAGAGTCTGACTGATCGAGACTGTGATCTTAAGATCCATAAGCATGAAGTCGCGTGACTCATCGGAGAAATCTACGGATTATGTCTCACCTATATCATAAAGCATTTTCTTTATAAGATCACGCAGTTAGGTTGTCAAAGCGAGATTTTATAGAGCAGTAAATAATTTACAGTCCTTACATTTGAAAACCAATCACCTATACTGAGAAGTTTTATTGGTTTCAAACTTTATCGACCGAACCTACAACTTCCGAGAGGAAAGTTTGTTACGTAACGAGAAGAATAACTATTTTGTATACAATTTCATTCTTTCATTATTTCTCAACACTTTACAAGTCTTCAGTACGAGGTATGAGTTCACAATGTCTGAACTATTTACCTCTGAGGGATCAGAGTGAAAATAACTTTGAGCGATCAGAGTGATTTCAATAAATTATTTGACTAATAACAACACTTAAACTAAGTACAGCATCATCTATGACCGTTCAAACAAAAATTGTACTATGTATTCTGCCTATAAACGTTTCATTTCATGTACTAAATATGTAAAGAGTCACAATAAATATAATTGACTTATACGTGGCAAATTTATTGTTCTATCCTTCATTTTATATTCTACAATAACATTTATTCAAAACGCATGTGAAACACATCTAACGGAGAAAGATAATTTGATAGTTAATGAATATAATATGTATATTAAAGAATGTTTATTACATGGTACTTAACCTTTAACTACAGACGACCCTTCTCATAAATGAATAATCCGACAACGATTACTTTGCAACACTTTTAATAACCAACTGAATGTTATTTTTCATTTCCGTTTTGAAAATATAGTGTCACTTATTGTCAATTGAAGGTACTCAAACGCTACGGCTTATAAAATTCTCCGCCAGGCTGTACTAGTGACAGAAAAATTCAAATTCGTTTCTGATTGTGAGACGAGTAGTCTGTAATTAAGGGTTAAATACATGGGCGTAGCCAAGGGATGGAAAAAAGTGGCTTTAGCCCCAACTTACAAGACAAAAATTGGATTTCCCCCCTCCCTTCCCAGAGTTATAAATTTTTTGCGTAATATTTAATATTGCAGTATAATTTGAAACACGACCAACAGCCTCTATTCACAAAACATATACATTTTCACCGATTTGTGACTTTAAAAACAAAATAAAGAGTGTCTGGCTACGTACAGCCTTTTTCACTGTAAATATTTTGCCCCCCCTCCCGACTGATAACCTGGCTACGCCCATGATACTATGTATAATGGTACTAATGATTTAATTACAAGGTAGTATAGTCACGAAATACGAAAGTACTTGTGCAAATAATTAATTAAATTAGTACATTTACGAAGACACTTCGAAACTAGTTCTCCGATCTTGAATTTTCAAATATCGCGAATGTCATCTTAACTATCCAAATAACAAAACTATATAACCTGCCTAGGAACATCCCCTAAAATCAAATACTGATTTACCTGGAAATTCGAACGAAACGTTTTGAAAGTTTTCCTGAGCTCGAACGAAGGCAGTTGGAGGTCGCGACGGTGGAACGCGGTGTGAATTTAGCAAACGAAACGCGTCGAATGACAGCGCGAACAAATTACAAGTTCCGAGTTGCACGTGCACGAAGGTAGGTTGGTTAAAACCGGGTCCCAACTAGAAGATTACCAGCGAACTCTGTCAACTGGCGGGATCCCGGGTGTAAGGAGGCGATGGCGGGAGCACTCTTGGCAGTCTTCAACTCGTTCCGTAGCTCGCGACGACGTCGAGGGCTTTGAATTGTTAATTCTGATTACCTTTGCGTCCCGGCGTACTTTACTTCTGCCACTTATCTAATGTACCGCCATTTGTGTCAGAGTTGAGTCACGTCTCAGGATTTCTGGATTGTTACCGCCATTTCCGGGGGTCCGTGAACGCTCTCCGTTGCAGTCGAGTCTTTGTACACAGCAATTTTCGGTATTATTTGAAGGAAATCGTCTTAATAGTGTGCGCATATTATTCAGATGATAAATAATATTATCTGACCTGAAATAATTTTTCAGTAATTCTACGGTGATATACTTAATGTTCTCCATTGACACTACATCGACGTAACTAGAATACGTGTGGGACACAAAGGGTAGAACGTTCGGAGATTTCAACGCATGGGGATTAATAGACTGCGGAGTTTTATGCAAAATTACATTTCATAAAGTAATTCTTATGGACAAAAATAAAAGTACGATTTACTTTCTTCACTTAAGTATTTTTTTTAAATTAATTATTTGACAGACCCGAAACTTGTAATTAGTTTTTTTGGGTTAAGCGTGGAATAAAAAATTCTTTGCATCTGATGAATGTTTTGTGTTTCATTGTATTTTACGGAGTTCTATAGGCTATAAATGCATAAAATCCGCAGTCTATAGATTAATAACACGAATAATTTGTTTCTGAATTACTTTTTTAATTTTCTTCTAGAGACAGCAACGACTGTTTATCGTATTTTTAAATTTAAATTACCATGTTTTCAACTAATTCTGCTGAATTATATAATAAATGTGGTTCGTACAACGAACAGTCACGTTGAAATACATCATGGTGATTGATCATGACGTGAAAGATTGTACAGGGACTACATATAATAAAAAGCAGTGTGAACCGAACGCTACAAGATACAAGGCTTTGCTAATGTTACACCTGAGCCAGCCTAATCAGCGGCACTGACGGTGCAACGTAGCAGTGATATTACCGGCGGTAGATAGTCGATCGTGCTGACTGGGTTATTACAATTGCAGAACGATGGAGGATGGCAAAAGGATACCGTTGCGAAAACGTTCATTAAATTAGTTCATTACACCTGCTTGTTCTGATGGGCCTCACTTACGGGAACTCGCGATAATTAGTTTAACGAATGTCAGTTCCTTTGTTACGACTAGACTAGGATTTTATACAATTTACAGCCTATAAGGCTCTGTGAAATACAATAGAAGACAAAACTTTCATTGGATCCAACGAGTTTTCTATTTTATTTTTGAATCCAATAAGATACTTAAGAGGAAAACGAAACTCTTATATTTGCTCCTGTCTTTCTAAATTACTTTAGAAAATTTCAATTCTGCATAAAAATCCGCAGTCTAGTTATCAACATTAACGTTGAATATCGAGCTTATAACCCACAAAATTTTATAATATCACGTGACTGTGACGATACGAATCTTTGATAATCTCCATTCGTAATCTTTTTCTTTATAAAAGATATTAGTTATTACTAGACTGCGTATTTTTATGCAAAATCACATTTTAGAAGGTTCTCCATAAAGACAAAAACAAAAGTAGGAAGTTCTTTTTTCCTTTAAGTATTTTATTAGATTCGAAAGAAAATAGAAAACTCGTTGCATCTGACGAAACTTTTATCCTTCATTGCATTTTACAGACACCTATAGGCTATAAATGCATAAAATACGCAGTCTAGTTATTACTTTCAGTGTATGTTAATATTGCACAGTTATTAATATTATTATACCTGTGTCGTATACCTGAGACACGTGTATGTGTAATGTTTAACCTTCGTGCACTGTTCAATAAACTACTGCAGTACTATTATTTAAATTTAATTGGGCCTGAATTAAAATCGAATTGAGGAAATATATTTGTACATGGCCAGATTATAAAATATGTAACATATTAAGAAAAAAATCAAGAATAACGAAATTGCGTTAGAGGCTTCGTTATCTAGTTATTTGGGCAAATGTAAATATAATACACAAAGCAGCATACACAGTGTACTACACACTACACACGTAATAACAAGAATCATTAAACCGCCAAAATGAAAATAAAAAATTTTTACTTTAAATTAAAAAGCACAACGAGTGAATTGAAATCTAAAATTATTGAATTAAATTAAAAACTATAGTAAGAAACACTATTCTCTGTTCGCGACGAGTTGTTCTCGATGACAATCGCGGTTAAACTAAAGAAATGTTCGTTGGGTTTCGCTCGAAGGACGAAAATGTCATACATGGTAGACAACAGATCAGAAAGTAGCACATGTAAGCGTGTTTTGAGCGGTTTCGAAGGCGGGTGGCCTGGTGCTATTTGGCTTTCGAAGGATTTATGGTAGGGTTTCGGAATGCGTGCGTTCTTGAATAGCAATGCATAACACTAAACAGTTCTGTTATCTGGTGGTGATTAGTGATTATGTTGGGTCATTCGACTATCAGTTGACGTAGGTCGTTTATGCAAAAAGGGGCAAAGTTGAATAAATTTTTTGTTTGTTAAATATACAGTTTATTTAAAGATATCCACACATCCAGAAACTATGAATATTGACGCTCTATTGAAGTCATCCATGAATTTTCTTTGTTAATTTTTGGCATACTCTTGCCTCGCACCATTCTAGAATGGATGAAATGAAGATATAATATGATGTTCTCATACAACTCACGTTGCAGACTACAATTTATGCTTCTATATGAAAAGCCCAACTACATTAGATAAAACTTATGTTATATTTTGTAATAATCAGGTATCTCTGTGTAACTTTTACGAAAGCTACCGTCGGACTAATAGTAAACATTCCTGGGGCGGCCAGAACTTGTGTAACAGCACCATAACAACGAAGAAAAAGAACGTCTGTGTCCAAATTCATTTGTTCAGTACTGTATATCCTTATAAAGGGATTATTCTATACTTGATAATTCGATGAAATGCATTTTGATAGTTCCTTGAGAATTATTAAGCAGACAGGTTTAATGTTCACACATCGATTTGTACTTAAGCTTCTATAAAGTTTAAAAAAAAAACGACTGCAGTATCGCGTGCCGTCATATGTTACGACTT